AAGCTACCAGTCTTCCAAGGACTTGGAGAACATTGTGAAAGAGACAGCACAAAGAATGAAAGAGCTGGATATGGTAGTTGCAATCAGGAACTCACTGCAGCTGTGACTACATGCACAAGAGGATGCAATTGCTGCCCACTGGACAGGGGTGGTCATGTTTCTTTGAGGATTGTAGTCACTGGTAGGTCACTCTTGAGCATGTAAGAACACTAGTTGTGACCAATGGATTATTTTTAGAGAGAAAAAGAGAACCTAAACTAGGAGGGATACATTCTTCAGGGTAGATTATGGATGGAGATGGAGTGGGGAAGTTGGGGATGAATTTGATCAAGATAAATCATGCACAGAGAGAGAGAGAGGGAGAGAGAGAATTGTCAAAGAATGAATCATTATTATTTTTAAAAGTTTTGTTTTGAGGGAAAAATTAGTTCAATAATCTGGGCCCTTGTCTGGAATAAAGATTTAGGAGTCAAGGTCTCTTAGTAAACTATATATCATTATGTAGCAAAACTGAAAACATGAGCGATAAGGGTGCTGTCAGAAAACAAATTATAGAAGCAAGAATACAGATATTTGTTCAATGTTCATGCTTAAAAAAAAAATTCCTTTGCAGTTCCACAGAGTCCCAAGCTTTGACTTTCTTTTCTAACTCCATGCTATGAAGTAAGATGGCCCAGATCAAAAGAAGATGACTCGTGTGTGTGTGTGTGTGTGTGTGTGTGTGTGCGCCTGCAAATGCTTACTGCCAGTAGAAAAATGATCCATGAGTCAAGAACGAAATCTGGTTCAGCATGACATAATTAGCCAGTACTAGTTCAAACATTTAGAGTCTGACGCCTAGCAGCTTGTTGTAGATATATTTACATACAGTACACTTTGGAGGGAAAAAGTTTCCTGGTAACAATTATCTCAATCCCATGTGCACAATAAAGCTTAAGGCAAGGTGTGACCACACCAAAACTTTTTTGCAAAATACGTGTGATCTCTATGATGAAGACGGGTCCCATAGCTTAAGAGCCTAGGATCTGGTGTGGTCTCCATGACAGAGGTAGGGGAGAGGTCATGAGGTTATAAAATACCTGTCATATTTCCCCCAAGGACAGGTTCTATTGACTGAAAAGCAATACTTAAGATAAAGGTCTAGTGAGGAAGAATTCAAGATAAACAGGAGATAATCCAGGAGATTCAGCTGTGGCCAGGCCCTACAGATAAGAAAGGTGACCAGGTTTTTAACTACATCCATCCTCAGCTTTCTGGGATGAAAAATATATACACACATCCCTTTTGTTGAAGAGACAAGCCTGGTGCTTAACATTTCTGGTTTCCCCAGAGTTTATCTGTGAGCAGAAAGAGCTCACGGCCTTTACAATGACTGGTCCTTTCACACTGTGCTAAGAGTTTTGTGTGTCAGAAGTACGTAAATCCCCAAATAGCATCATTATCTGGGGACCAATGATTCAATACATAAGTCTGTGGAAGACAGTTATATTTAGAGAATTTAGGCCCCGCAGAGAACTTTCTTGAGGTAGGGTTCACCAGCGGCTGACCCTATACATTTGGCCAGGTTCTCTTTTCATCATCTCCGGCCCATGGATATTTACTCTGTTCTTTCTTGAGCAGAGGCTGAAGTTTTAGCACCCTCCTGCTCAAAGGCCATAGTCTCAATAGTCTGAGACCTATTAAGGTTGCTTATCAGCCTAGAACATCTAGAAAGAGATAAGAAAGGAAGAGTCTTGGCATCCCTTTTATTTCTGATAATGATACAGAGAATATATTTTTGTGACATATTTTTAATAAATTAACATTTTATAGAATTGAGATGTTTTACTACATAAAGACACACCTGAAAAAAAATGCTGATTTTATTTCTCATAGTATATGGCAGAAGCCTCACATTTCTCTAACAGAAAAAATGAAATAAGTTAAATGTGTAATAGCATTGGAAAAAAGTATCACTAAAACAATTATACTTTGAAAATGGAGGTTGCAAATGTATTAATAGAATTTGTACTTAGTGTCTTACCATTATTTCCACTTAAAAGAAATACAGGACAGGATTAGCTGTTATAGTTAAATTACCATGGTTAAAATGTATGAAAAAAAATCAACCATTAGAAAAATAGGTGGAGAAATTACTTAGAAGCTATAACATCACCCTCAGGAAACAATCTGCCAAAGGTATAGGAGATCAGACATATTGTCATGACATAACTGATACATAGATTTTGCTTCACATATTGCTTAACAAGATTAGTTTATGGGAGAGATTTCTGACAGGCACTGTGCTAATTGCTGAGTCCTGAAATGATGAAGATATGTCTCAATGCCCGTGAGCTTCCAGGTAGATGAGAAATATTTAAAATATTTACTTAGCATGATACTTACTAAAACATGGTCGCATTTCGAGTTACTTCAGCAACTTCATTGCCCTTGAGAACAATAACACAATTTGTTGAGCTACTTAGACCTGTGTGGTTGGGAATGTTCTCAAAGTTAATGAGGTAACTGAAGTTTCATGGTTGATAATTATGGAATTATGGCCTTGTTTTATGCAAAAATCATGCTGTGTCTAACTGGACTAACAGAACAAGTGACTTTCCAAATTTAGAGTTATTATCAAAGGACTAATCTATACTAATCTGTGAGCAAATTGTCCTCTGCTTAATAATGTAACTGCTACCTACATTTTCATTTTTTATAGACTTTCTGGAATATCTTTTAAAGTATTTTTAATTTTTATTTTCACAGTTTATTCATTATATATCCCAATTGAAGTCCCCTTCCTCAACTCCTCCTGGTCCCACTCTCCCTCCCTCTTCCCCCTAGCCCCTTCCCCTAGTCCACCGAAAGGGGAGTTCTCCTCCTTTGCCATCTGCCCATAACTTATCCAGTCTCATCAGGACTGCCTGGATCCTCTTCCTCTGCAGCCTGTAGCCACATCACCAGGGGCAAGTGATCAAAGAGCAGGCAACTGAGTTCATGACAGAGGCATATTTCTAAATTTTTGAAAACTGTATTTAATAACAAAATGTTATTAAAATTTGGCTCTTAAATTCTCCCAGGAAGATCTGTGTTTGTCATTATGTTGATGGAAAGAGGACACACAGGACACAGATACAACAAAGCTGTAGATCAGTGTTCTCAGCCTTCCTAATGCTGCCTCCCTTTAATACATTTCCTCATGCTGTGGTAACACCCCTCGACCATAAAATTATTTTCATTGCTACTTCAAAACTGCAACTTTGTTGCTGTTATGAATTGTAATGTAAATATTTGTGCTTTCCAATGGTCTAGGTAACATCTGTGAAAGTTCTTCAACTCCCAAAGGTGTTGTGGCCCATAAGTTTAGAATCATTACTCTAGACTCTATAGGACTAAGACCTAGAGAGCTAGACATGAATGAAATATTTGAATTACCAAGTTCACTAGCAGTGAGATAAAATCCTCCTCTAAAAGATCCTAGACAGCTTGCCAGTCTCAACCAAACAACACAGTACTAGAATGAGGACAAATTCTCTGTGGTTGCCTTACAAACAGAAATGCAACCTGGCCACTGAAGGAGAAGTCAGTGTGTTGAGCCCTTAAACAAGAAGGAAAATAAGGATGTACCCTGCAGCAGAAGGAGACAGGGTACTATTCCAAGTTCTTAGATAGCTGACACCCAGAGACGACAACTTGAGAGCAAGAATGGGAGTTCTCATCACAGTTGGCAATTCCTTTCAGTTAGCAGAACTTTCTAAGGTAACCGTTTGGAATCTTTGCTCCCGAAATCACAATGAAATTATACTCAAGAATGCAGTCTGAGCACTTGCAGGAAAATGGATGGAACTAGGGGTCAATATGGTAAGTGAAATAACTCAGATTCCGAAAGACAAATACTCTATGTTAGCTCTCATGCTGAATCTATAGATTTCTTTCTTTATCTGCGTCGCGATAAATACATGCATGTATATTGTGTACATGGCAAGGGATTATATATATATGTATTATTATACATGTATATATATATATATATAGTGTGTGTGTGTGTGTGTGTGTGTGTGTGTGTGTGTGAGACTCGGAAGGAGGAAGATACACTGAAGGAAGGGATGCTAAGGGAGAAGGGTGGGTAACGGAATGCATGCAAACTGGAAGCGAAAGCGGCAGGAAGGAACTAGCTGGAGCACTTTCAGGATGGGTGGGAGCAGAGGGAGAGGGACAGGGACAGGATCTAAAGTCTAACGACAAACATGTATAAAAGGGCCACAACAAAACCCGCTGCTTTAATGCTGACTTAATAATGATCAATTTCTCTAGAGGTAAACATTTCCGTATCCTCTATGCTGGGGGAGCACGTGCCAACGAAACAGAAAAAGCATCTTAAAAGGACCATCACTCAGTGAGTTATATGTTAAGACAGCACTCAGGCTTGGTGCAATTTACAATGCTAATTAAACTTAAAAATGCAAATTTACCAAATTTGAACCAGAAAATGAACCAAGATGTTGCTAAAAGCTCAGTCTCAAAATGGCACTGAAAACAAACAGAACAAACAGAAGGAGCAATTTAAAAAGATGAACTGCGTTCGAGGGCGCCACAGCACACTCCCAGTAACAAACGGATCACACATACAGCTACACTGGTTTTAGCACACCGACCAGGATGGAAAAGTATATGCCCCAAGTTCCTGACCACACAAAGGTAAAGTCATTTAGCCAGCAAGCAGAAAATAGGGATTCAGCAATTCTTAGACCTACAGTGTTCAATGTGAGCTTCTCACCTATTCCTAATATCTTCACGTCACATCATGTGCAGTGTATAAGCCATTTTCACTCCTCAGTATTTTTCCTTCTACCTAGTATATCTGTGAACACTGATTTTCATTTCCATCCTTAAAAGTCAAAGGGCCAAAATCTACAATTTTTATTTATATAAGAAAATACTAAGTATTCTGGACTATTCAAGATAAAATTATATTCAATAAACTTTGGTAAAATGTATTTTATATTTTAAATTTCTGGGAACTATTTATTGACAACGTACATCTATAGACAATGTACATAGCTATTCTTCAATAGAAGGGATAATTTATTGTGTTAAGATATATACATACTTTTACCAATTCTCCAAGGCATTTCAGACCTACTCATGCAAATATTACTTTCAGAAATGATTAGTGAACCACGGGTCCCTGTATTTGTTGAACTGAATGACCTGGCAGTAAAACTCGGTTAAGGCTCTGGGCATTGGGGACACCTCCTCCCACTCTGACCTGCTGCTGTGGTAGACCTGCACCTCATCCGTGATCTCATCCGGCGCATAATCTCCCCCTAGGATGTAAATCCTATCCTCAATCCCAACTGCGCCTGCGTTAAAGCCTGCACACTCGAAAGAGCCCTCTCCTTTCCAGACACACGTGTCAGGGCAAAAGCTATACACCTTGTAGGTTGAGAGGTCACATATATACAGGGTGCAGTTTACTGGGACAGCTTTAATTAGCGTAGCGTGAAAAAACTGTCCAAACTCTGCTACGAGCTCGGACCACTGGTCAGTTGTAGCATGGTATTTAAAAAAGCAATCAAGCGATGGATTAAAGGCCTCTGCAATCTCTACCTCAGATCCGAGAACGTAAATGACATCTTGGCATGCACTGGCTTCTGGGTAATAGATGCCTCTGGGTAAAGGGCTAACCGATGTCCACTCTTTGGACAGCGGATCGTAAGATTCAACATCCAGGAGACTTTTAATGTCCTGGGCCCCTCGAGTCTTTCCACCTATAACGAACAATCGATTGAGCGCCATGACTGAGGTATGCATGGTTCTTGGAGTCTTCATGGTTGAAACCAAGAAAAACTCATTTTTAATTGGACAGTAGCACCAGGTCTGGTCAGTGGCGTCATGGTAAGACTCAGCAATATGAAGTCGGACCTTCCTACAGCACTTCCCTTTGCAACCCCCTGTCAAGAATATTTTCTCTCCATAGCTAGACAGACTAGACCCTGGCAAATCAACCAGATGTGACTGCGGCAAGATTTTCCACGAGTCAGTTTTAATATTATAGCAAAATGTATACTGATTTTCCCCATTTTCCTCTGTTTTATGGATAAATATATATTTTTCAGTTGTGGATGGTCGAGCATCAGGGAAAAGGCCACTAGAACCTTGCACACACTTGATGGCATCCACAATTGTGTCAAAACAGTTTGTGCTTCTGAGCAAACACTCCTCACGGAGCAGACAGTCCTGCAGCGTGTCCTCAGGCAACTGATGCAATCTCACTTTTGCCATCAAGTGAGGCAGGTGCCTTCGCCTGGCCTCTACGTTGTGTTTGATCCAGGTGAGGACGACCTTCAGGACCATTTCTTCTTCAGGGACATTTAACTCATCTGACTCCAGACACTTCTGCAGCACTCCAAAACTCATCTCTAAAAACTCCCTGGATTTAAACAACAAATGAAAGTGGCGCTGAGCGAAACATAAAGCCTGGCTGAACAAATGGGGAGAGCCGTAGCTGTCTGATAGACATAATAAATGTAAGCAGTTGGCAAGACTGATGCCTTTTATGAGGAAGTCGCTGCACGCTTTGGACAGGAAGGAAACCTGGAGAAAGGCTGACAGCTGGAAGAACATTTCCACGTTCTCAGCCGTTATTCTTGTTTTCCCGGTGTAGGCATAGTCAAGAAACGCCTTTACTGCTTTGGAGGACAAGTTAGTAATGGTAACACTTCCGTCATCTCTTTCTTTCATGTTAACTTCAAACATAGCCCTGAAAACAACAAACAAAGGAGACCAAGTAAACAAAAGTATTTATTCTGTAACTATTTGCAATACCACCATTCAGATACTTCTTGACCCTTTATTTCATTTTAAATACATTTATAAAATCACATTTAATGTCATCCTAATGAATTAATATTTAAAATAACTATAAGCTATAATACTTATCTGCTGATGTATAGCCTTCACAATATAACATATATAGTGTAGCTGAGGTATAATAGAAACAAAACGACTGTACAGTGGTTCAAATTTTAGATATTAGTTAGTTCTTATACATAACTCAGTTTTCTACAACGGCAAATTAATTATAGCCATGACAATAACTAAAATTTCCCCAATATATAATGTTCAAAGTCTTAGGCTTAAAAAATTTACAGGAAACACAGAATGTGAGAGGCCCACTGCCATCAATGATTTTGTATTCCTTTGTGGTGAAATCAAATCAGATTGATCTGAAAAAGGGACAAGGGAGGTAATATCCAAATAAGCCAGATAAACCTAAGTACGCCAAATTTACATTTTTCTGGTAACAACTACTGAGACACAGAGACTCTTCCCTAAACACGAGTAATTAGACCAGCTTGGAAATTAAAAGGCAAATCTAAAGGATTGGGACTATCCTGAACTCAGGAGAGACAAAAACATAGATTATTTGGAGGTGTGTAGTCAGGAAATAAAACGTATTTTACTGTTTATCCTGGTTTCCTAACAGTCTGCGTTTGAGCTGATGCTATCAATAATACTGTGCTGCTGGAAGAGAGAAAGACCCCAAGAGGATGATGTTTGAGTTCATGGTCTCTAGTTCCTGGAACAAGCTGGGGAAGACTTGAGGGGCGGCCTCGGGGAGGAGTGACGGCGGGGAAGATACGAGGCTTCAAGAGGGGCGCCGTTACCAGCCAGCTCTCTCGGGCGCTCTCGCCACCGTGCCTTTGCTCTGCCATCACGGACTTAACCTCCTCAAGCTGCCCAATGAGATACTTCCCTAAGTTGTTCTGGTCATGGTGTCTCACCACAGCATAGCAAAGGAACTGGCACAAACACTTGACACGCGATCCCTGTGAGTATCCACACACATGTCCTGGTGTGGGCGCTGACTTTTAGCTTGCAGTCTGTGCAGAGAGTGAATAAGTCCAGTGGTGAGCACAGGATCTACTTGAAGAGAATGGGGCCTCTACAAATAAATTAGGAAGAGAATGATAGAGAGCCTTTCCCCCAGGCTCCTCAATACTTCTTAACACAAAGCCAAATAAATGTAGTGACAACAATTATATGTGTGCTGTATTTAACACAAGGGCCTCCAACAGTGTAAGCAAGGTTCGAAATACTAACCTGTAACGATTTTACATATGTGTACTACACTTTTGGTTCAAGGCAGTGTTACATTCACGGCCCTGTCAGTCACTAGGGGCGCAGCTTCATCCGCTTACTGCCCACAAAACAGGCAGGAGGCTTTATCAACAACGAATACAGGAGGGTGTTCTGTAATGGTTACTGTCCTTTCCTATTTCCACTACTCATACACGGAGATAAAGAGCATGGCTAATGAATCTGAAAAATGAATTAAAATATTAATTTGAATTGTAACGGGAAGTTCTAAATGCATACTTTTATTTCAACTAAAGAATTATTTATGGGCTATAACTCAGGCTATATGCACGAGAAAATCACACTCAACAAAACTTTTTACAAAATAAATGGATTAAATGAGTTGTTCAGAAGAATAAATAATTTAATCAGTGCAAAGTATTAACTGTTATTTAAAAAAACAAAGGTTTCCCAATAGATAGTGCCCCCTCCCACATCTCTGTCTGTCTGTCTGTCTGTCTTCCCACATGTTAGGTTTTCATTTGCACAAGTATGTGCCTGATGCCTGTGAAGGACAGAAGAGGGAGTCAGATCCCCGGAACTAAGTTACAGATGGTTACAGATGCTGGGAATTGAGTCCAGGTCTCTGGAAGAGCAGCTGGTGCTCTTAACCACTGAGCAATTTCACCAGTCCCAGGATTCTATGTAGTTTTAACTTGATATCAGCTTCCACAGGCTTACAGAAGACACGTGTAAGATCAAGGTCCTGTGCTTTACTTACTCTCCTACTTATTTCTCAAGTGGTTGACATTTATCTCAGATTTGCCATGTAATCATACCTGGTTTCTGTAAGACATGCTCCTTGATTTGACATCTTAATCATGTTTTGCTACATAGTACATAC